GTGAGCAACACTCCCATATTTTTTGTCCTACCTAGTCTATTCTATCTCATTTATTTAAAAAAATTGCCGACCACAACCCAACAAAGGATCGCAACGTACAGTTTGAAAACCACTGATTCAGAGCACAGGAATCAAGAGCAGAAGGGATATAAATGGCCCAGGGTATCATTCTGATTGTGGCCTGGATTGTAAACCTGCATCAGATTTTTAAATCATGAGGGTGAACAACCAATACACTTACAACCATTCTGTACCCAGATGACCATTCTGTTTTTCACTTCCAGTAGTGTTCAATTTATTACATGAGATATCTCTCGCTTTACTATAAAGTAGGCTTTGCGTTAGGTGATCTTGCCCAGCTAGAGGCTGATGTAAGTGTCCTGAGCACGTTTAACACAGGGTAGGCTAAGCTGTGACATTCACTGGTGAGGTGTGGGAAATGCATTTTCAGTTTACAATATTTTCAACTTACAATGGATTTATGAGGGCGAAACCCATCATAAGTCAAAGATCTGTGGTTCGCCATTCGTGTAACAATCACTGACGTCAGTGACCTGGAGCTGTGCCACAGAAGATGGAACTTGGGGGTGGGTCCTCACTGCCATCGCGCCACTGGCCCCAAAGTCTGGCTGGGGAGCAGCGAGAGATTTGTAGTCCCTCCTCACAAACAAGTCTGTTTCCCACACAACAAGAGTGGGGAGCTCTGGGGAGGGGGCAGTGCCTACCGGTGTGACGGGCGAGGCACTCAAGGAAAGGGGCAGAGGAGCAACTCGTCTCCTCCTTCACCAGAAAGACCATGAGGTCTACAGTTCACAGTCCCCCTAGGGTTGCTGCCATCCTTCCTCTATAATGTGCACTTCCTGTCTTGCAAATACCGTGGACAGCTTGCGGGATGGGGAGGTTCAGAAGGGTCCCGTTCAGCCAAGATGGCCGGTCCAGCTAGGAGGGATCCCGGAGGCCTGGGGAGGCACACTGTGGTGGCCCATCCGGATGGTAGAGGGTTTGATGAAGCAGGGCCCGGGCGGCGGGGAGGTCGTCAGGGTCTGTGGGCAAGAGGGGCTGGTGGGTCTGCTGGGACGTGGCCTCCCTCAGCAGCCCCGCCCCCAGGACTCACCCACCCCCAGCTCCCGCAGCAGCCCCGCCCCCAGGACTCACCCACCCCCAGCTCCCGTAGCAGCCCCCAGAACTCCGGCTCAGCCTCTAGCACTTTGAGCAGGTTGGTGGACTCCATCCGCTCCAGCTGCACCTCCCAGTACACGTAGATCTTCTGATTGAAGGTGACGTACACGAGGCAGGGGCTGTTGCAGCCCCCTTTGCAGGCGTACAGGCCTGGGGGAGGGGTGGCGGGGGTAGGAGAAAAAGGTCGGGGAGGCTTATTCCCGGCGCGGGCGGCATTCGTGTCAGCAGTTTCTACCCACCCGTGGATGCCAAGTAGAAAACTAAAGGCCCTCTTTCTATTTCTTCCTTGTTGGGAACTCAGTAAAGCAGGTAAAACGTAAAATATCTGGCCCATTCCAGATACGGAAAACCACAGTAACAAAGCCCAGGCAGGACAGTGTCCTAGGAGGTGACATGTGCTGGTTTCCCATCTCCGTGACAGCCCCAGGGTAACGCGGGGCGGCTTCTCTTGGGTGGTGACCCCTCTTCCCAGGTCACTGGAATGCGGCACCAGCGCGTCGTTCAAGTGTTACCATTTCAGTGACCAGAGACACCCCCAAAGGAGTTAACGCTGCTTCCCAAGGTCCCCGATTTGGAACTAAGAGAACAGAACTTGGAGAACAGTCTTCACAGAGTCCTGACACGTTCAGATGGGGAGGAACTTTCCCATATCTCCACACAGCAGGCAGACAAGAACTCATCCGACTCTTTTTTTTTTTCTGAACCCGCCCCCCATATCTGATCCTTTAAAATATCCAAAGATAGACACCTCACTGTCTTTTATCTCTTCTTAGTTCAAACTGTAAAGACGGCAAAAATCTGGTACCCACTCACACCCTCTAACCGAAGAGCTGAAGAACTCGTTTGTTTACAAAGACTTGCATCGGGGGCCGCAGTGAGAGTGGAAGCGAGGGGCACAGGTGTGCTTAGCAAGGGGTGCGGGGCAGGGTCCCACCTGCACAGAAGGCGCGGACGTTCTCGTCCACCTGGAAGCGCACGACGGTGCGGTTGTGATCAATGATGTACGTCTGTCCATCCCAGGCACAGGCGACCACCTCCTCGTGCCCGTTGCCCTGAAAGAGGCCAGAGACCGGGATGCAGGGGTGGCCAGGAGCCGTTTTATTTTATTTTTATTTTTTCAATTTATTTATTTTTTGCCGCGTTGTGTTTTTGTTGCTGCGCGCATGCTTTCTCTCTAGTTGCGGCGAGCGGGGGCTACTCTTCACTGTGGTGCGCGGGCTTCTCACTGCGGTGGCTTCTCTCTTTGTGAAGCACGGGCTCTAGGCGCGCGGGCTTCAGTAGCTGTGGCTTGCGAGCTCTAGAGCGCAGGCTCAGTAGCTGTGGTGCACGGGCTTAGCTGCTCCGCAGCACCTGGGATCTTCCCAGACCAGGGCTTGAACCTGTGTGCCCGGCTTTGGCAGGCAGATTTCTAACCACTGCGCCAGCAGGGAAGTCCCCAGGAGCTGTTTTAGAAAGGCTTCCTGACCGGGTGTATGAAATTACGGGAGCTGTGGACTCGGCTCCAGGTGACAAAGAGCAGGGAAGGCAACCCCCCTGCGTTTCTCACCGAACATCTCCCGGCACCTGGCTGCTGAATGAGCCACCCCCCCAGAGTGCTCGCGACAACCCTAAGAAGTAGGCAACGTCACTCCCATTTTATATTGAGGAACTGCCAGCTTACAGAAACAAACTCACTCGCCCAAGGCCACCCGGCCCGGAGGTGGCAGAACTGGGTCTCAAAGCCGGGCCTGTCCTGACCTGACCTCAGAGCCTCACGCCTCTTCTCCCAGACCCTCAAGCAGGCACAACAGCCGCATCAGCGCAGCCCCACCTGCCGACCCAGGGGCCACAGCTCTGGTGAACACACACTCGTGTGTGACGTCCGCAGATGGGCGAGCAGCTCACTTCTGGACCCTAAGAACAAGCTGCTTCTCTTTGGAGCCATCGGCTCTGCTGAAACGGGAGCCTCCCCAGAGGCAAAGAGAAGAGCGCTGAGCCCGTGGAGTGGGGGGCGCTCGGGGGGCCAGGCCTGTCTAGGGAGCCTTGAGGTAAAGGCGGAGTCGGCTGAGGAGGGAGAATGGCCCCCTACGGGCCCCCACTCACCGTGACGTCCAGTTTCTCGAGAGCGAAGAGCTGGTGGTCCACCTGCACCGACCACAGCAGCTTGTCCGCCTCCTCCGTGAGCTTCAGTGTCCCTGCGGGGAGAGGCGGCCGGGCTGCGGGCAGAAACCCTGCGCAGACCCAGGGCACACCACTGCCCACCCTGCACGGCCCACGGCTGACCCGAGGGACTCACCATCCAGGGTGCAGAGGGCAAAGAGGCCCGAGGCGCCACTCTTGGGGCTGCGGCCTGCGGGGGGAGGGGGAGGGGCGGTAGAAGGACCAGAAGCAGGAAACGCGAAAGGCAAGGCTGTACCTCCCCTCCCCGCTTCACCCCTGCATCTCCCGCCCCGCCCCGCCCCACCTCGCTTGATGTTGCCGATGAGGTGAGTGGAGACGTTCTTGTTGTGGATGCGGCCAGACGTCTGGTGCAGCACAACGTCTCGGGCAGCGGGGGTCTCCCTGTGGTGGGGGAGGGCGGCTAAGTGGCAGCCCAACAGAGCTTGGCTCTCCAGACCCGTGTGGGCCCCATCTCCGTGCGAGCTTCCAGGACGTGAATCAGCTGGAAGACCTATCGCCCACCCCAACCTGGGCCAGTGGGCAAGTCGAGAGAGAGGGGCGGAGCTGCCAGGCTGGAATCTCAGAACCTCTTCCAGTTGCTGCGTTAGGGTCAGGATTCCCTGGGTCCCGAAAATAATCTTCCTTAACGGGGCAGAGGTGCTTGTGCCGGGACCCAGCTGATGCTGCTCCAACCACAGACCCATCCACGGCTGTGGGCGCCCACCTCGCTGCCAGGCACCCCACCGTCAACAGGCCCACCCCCCTTACCTAGTGCCCTCCTCGGGCCCCTCAGAGGTGGGAGGCGGCCCAGGGTCTGTGTTCCAGGTACACAGCAGAATCGCGTAAGCACAGCCTGGCTGAGATACCATTAGCTCAGGAAGACCCAGGGGCCCTGGAGTCACCGAGAGACTGTCCACCTGCACCAGAGAATGGGGGCTTAAGGGAGCTGCTGGCGAGAGAAAGGGGAAAGCCTGCAGAGGACGGGGGTGGGCAGAGGCCCTGGGACATGTCCTCAGCCTTCCAGGGCAGAGCAGCAGGGGGAAGTGCAGGGTCCACGGGGCTCCTGCTGGTGCCACCCTCTCCACAGGGAGCACCTGCGATCCCGCGGTGCGGATCCCGATGCGACACACCCACCGTCACATCCCTAATTCTTAGCGCGATGTTCCTTCCTGTCGGCCTGTTACTGGCCATCTCCCCTAAGACCCTGATTCGAAGTGATCTCCTTTGGGTCTCTGTCAACAAGGTGGTTTTCCCTCCTTCCCACCCTGAGCCCCAATCCCCGCCTGTTCTCCCACAAGCCCCCTCCAGGAGGGAGGCCCGTCCTGCTCCTGGGCTGTGGCCCCCATGCTCAGCCTGTCACCTGACCCTCCAGCATCCACTTCTTGAGAGACACCAGCTGCCCTGTCAGATGCTCGGTGCCATCGCCCAGGTCCTCCCAGCGGAAAGCCCGGACTACGCGGTCTGTGTAACCCACCACCAGCTCGCAACAGCCATCGCCATCTGTGGATCCAGAAAATGAGACGAGTTTGGAGCCAAACCCGTCTTCGCCAGCTGAGGTCCTACAAGCACGCCCTCCTCCCCGCCCCTCTAGCACCACCGCCACTGGCACTTTTTATCAGGTTCGACCTCAGGCCCACCTGCCGAGCTGCCACGTCACCCCTTGAGCCAGGCACCCGCTCCCCGGCCTGCCCTTGCACCCAGAGCCACACAGCTGCCTCGCAGGGCCTGTCACTTCTTCCCCCGGGTACACGACTCGAGTGCCCTGATGCACCCACATCCCTACCAGCACCTTTGAGACAGCCTCTGGCCCAAGCACCAGCCCCATATCCAAGCGGCTCACTCTCTTGCAACCTTGAGTTGTTGATCAGCTGTCCCCTTCTCGGCAGGGACTCCCCTGACAACTCCACTTAGAACAGCCAACTCCACCTCAACACCCTCCAGCCCCTTTCCGTGGGTGACCTCCTTCACGATACTTACTACTTTCGAATATACTATTTAATTCTCTTACCACATTGCTAGTGTTTATTTTCTGTCCCTTCCTAGTAAAGGTCCAAGAGGGCAGTGACTTTTGTCTGTTTTATTCACTATTGCAATCCCAGTGCCTGGAACGATGCCTGGTTTATAACGGGAGCTCAGCAGCCTGGCGTTAAATGCATGACAACTGCCCAAAGAAACACTGACGAGACCCCTGGCTCCCTCGAGATCTGCTCTGTTGCCCCTTGACTCCTATTCCCTGGCTGCCCGCAAAGACAGCCATGCCCACCGATGTCGCTGATCAGCATGACCTTGGTGTTGGCGGGGATGTGCTGCTTGAAGACTGGGCGCTGCTCCTCCCCGCCGAGGGTCTCGTGGTGCCCAGAAGCATCCAGGGCCTTAGAGGGCGTAAGGTCACACAAGTGAAACCAGCCCTCGGCACTCACGGCCACCACCAGGTTCTGGGAGAGACAGAGGTAGAGGAGGGGGCTGGCTGTCAGAGCACAGAGTCGGGGATGAGCTGAGGGAAACCCGCAGCGCCCTGGGCTTCCTACCTTTCCTTTATTACACACATCTCCAACCCCGACGCACGTGAGCTGCAAAAGAAGAAAGAGAGGCTCAGGGGGACACGCTAAGGGTCCCCAGTGCTCCCTAACCTCTGTGAAGCACGGAGCGGGCTTCTCATCACCGTCATTCACTGAAAACTCCTGCGCACGCCCCACATCGAGAGGCCGGACTAATCCCGTTACTGTGCTCTGGGTCCAGTTCGCCAGACAGCAGTATAAGGACCTGGGGTAGTGAAGACAAGTTGGGCTTAAACAAAACAAAAACTACATCAATAGAGCCGGACTGTCATACTTCTAGGCGTATTCAAATGATTGCCCCCATTTTCTACTACACTTCGTACGATCAGACAACCTCAGCAGATCCACGAAGATCTAAGGGAGTCATTCCACCACATAAAATGAAAACCAGCCCGGCTGTGTGTGCGCATGACACCTGGGAAGCCTGGGGGCTTCCCTCCGATTCAAATGAACCCTTAACCAGTAGCTGGCGACCTCGGACACGCTGGGGAGCTCATGCGTGGGGCTCAGCCTCGACAGTCCCTGGGCAGGAGGGGTCCCTTCCCCCTGGAGACCCAGGGAGCTGAATACTGACCATTCCCTGGCAGGAGCAGGTGAGCCACGGCCGGCTGTCATCGTTCTTATACACGGACAGCTTTCCACTGGTGTCTCCCACCACCAGTTCATTTAACTTCAAATGGAGAGAGAAGAGAGGGTTAGGCTGGGGTCCCGCTGAGCCACTCAAGCCCTTCTCGACTGGGCCCTCGGCGGAAGTCACAAGACCTCAACCTGTATGTTCATCAACTTTATTAACAAGATTTCGAGACCAACACAGTCACAGTCTCCCAGGTTCTTTATCTCCAGTTAGGGGTATGTGTGTGTTGAGGGCAGGGCAGGTTAGAGACGGGCCAGTACAGAATCTGTGCTCCGTCTCAGAGAAGTCTGACGTCTGAATAGCTCAATGCCCCAAACGCCTGCTTTCGGCGTTTCTCATTTGCCCTTATGCATGGGACACGTTAGGAAAACGACCCGAAATACGTAACCTTTGGAGAACTGAACTTCAGAGCTCATATTTAATCAGGGGCCAAATAAAGACAACGTCAGCTCTGGGGTCCTCCCTCCCCTGGCAAGGCCTTTCGACGTTGGTGCGTCTGAGTGAACACAGTTGGTGGAGGTGCCGGAGGGGCAGCATCCCAGCTCTGGGCCTCTGGTGCCCCCTAGTGGTGGCTAAGCTCCCAGGAGGGTCTGGAGCCTCTTCACCGTTTACATGTGGGCTCCCCATTTCCCAGTGGTTCCTCAAAGGCTGGCCGCCCTTTCAAGGGGATAACGATGATAGCCAGCTGGCTCCAAATGCCATTTCCAGAAATACTTTCATGATTCCTTCTTGGGGGGACATCTAACACCCTTTCCCGTCCTCAGAGTGAAAATTAGATTCTCAAGAGATTTAATTTTAAAGGCAACAAAGACATAACAGATCAACAGTAAGAAAAAATGAGAAACAAATTGGGGTTTATTAATAATGATTTGAAGCTTACATTTATTATATTTTAATAGTTACGGCAGTTTCTGGTGGGCACATTAGATATTAGAGGCATAAAACAAGTTTATCTATTTACATCAAACCCTCTGCACCCTGGAGGACTTCTGCAGACACACAGGAGAAAGGCTGAATAGCGCAGAGCTCCGAGTGCAGCTGCCTGAATTTGAATCCAACCCGCTATGCCTGAATCTTTTCATCTATAAAACGAGGATCACAAGACTATCCACCTCATAAGGTTGCCGTGAGAACCGAGCTAACGGAGGGAAGCATCTAGAAAGGTGACTGACAAATAGCAAGAATAACAGGGGGTTTTCAGCTTCCAGTTAAATGCCTCCAAGGCTTGGGGATCTTAGCATCTTTCACACAATTCACTCTTTTTCTATACATTCATTCAATAAATGCCACAGTCCATAGTAGGCCCTCGATAAATGTTTACTTAATGACAAATTAAAGATTTTTTTTTTTTTAACAAACAAAGAAAAATCAGAATGAAAGAGAATGCCCAGTCAACCCTTGAGTTTTCAGGGAAAGCTGAACAACTCGTTAGGGGCCCAAAGACAAATGCCACAGATCCACAGTTGCACAACTGCTGAGAAGGACCTCAGTTTAACAAGGGCACCGACGACGGAATAAAATTGTAAAACAGTGTGGTGAGTGCAGTGAGTGAGTAGATACAACTCAGTAGGCGACCTGGATGAGCACACTTCCGGGGTCGTCCATCTGCTCCCCAGCACTTCTGCTCCTCTGTGGTCCATCCTGGCTCTGGCCTCTGGAGGTTACTCAGTGACACTAAAGAACCCCGGCTGCAGAGTACACCTTCAGTCAGAAATGCTACCAGAGAAAGGAAGTGTGCTCTCTCTGTGACCTGCGTCCCCCTTCTAGACACCATCTCCCCACTGGCTCTGTGGGGTTCTCGAGGGTGTGTATTCTATCCCTGGCTTCTCCCTCTGACTTAGCAGGAAATAAATTACTCGCAAATAACTTTAGGTTACTGGTTTAATGGGATGAAATAAGTATTTTTCCTGCCCCAAATCTCCAAAGGCTGGCCCCTGGAGAACCACTAACAAAATTTCTATCCATATTCATGCAGGCTGAGTGTACCACACCTGATTAGTAGCCAACTATCTCACCTACTTGCCCTTCTTTCAATTATATTTATTAATAACAGGCAAAACCCTTCAAATTGCTTTGAGATACATAATGACATTTGCCTTTAATAACAACCCTCATTTATTCAACAAACATTTACTGAGTGCCTACTATGTCCCAGGCACTATTCTAAGTATTGGGAATACAGCAGTGAAAAAAAGTTTTAAAAATTCCTATCCTTACAGAGCTTACAGTGCTTACAACTAAGGTTTAAAAAAAAAAAGAGGTAGGGAATTCCCTGGCGGTCCAGTGGTTAGGACTCCACGCTCTCACTGCCGAGGCCCAGGTTCAATCCCTGGTCGGGGGGAGCTAAGATCCCACAAGCTTCATGGCACACCCACGCCTCCCCTCCCCCCCAAAAAAGTAGTGTGATATACCTAATATTGCAGAACTGAGTGTGCAATTCACTTAAAAAAGTACAATTGCCAAAAAAAGCTGACCCTGTGAAGCTAGGGAAAAAAGGCACGTGTGCCCTTTTAAACAATCAGGTAAAATAGAAAATGATGCACATCTAACGTCACTTTGTTAATGTACTATTTTAAAATGCCTCCCTTGATTGTCTCATAAAATTATACTGCTGAGCATATGAAGAAACGATAGAGCCCAGAAAACATAACACAAATTTATGGGAATAACTTTTCCCTCCCTAGACAGGATAGAGCCAAGAGGCCTCATAAAATACTTTTTCCATCACAGCGCAAAGGAGGCTGAGGGCGGGGTTGGGGGTGAGTGGTGGGGACGTTTTAGCCCGAATTTTTTTTCCCTGGGAAGAGAGCACAGACAAGTTAGGGAGGTGACGATGAGATGTGAGGGAGGCAGAGAAGCGACGGGGGCAGAGGGTAGGAGAGGAGAGCAACCATGTGCTTTGCATACACACCCTCGAGGGCCCCACGGAAGCCTGGCGACACTAGTGGGGAGACAGTCTCTAGAAGGCGGACGCAGGTCACAGAAAGAGCGCACTTCCTTTCTCTGTCAGCTTTTCATATGAAACTGAGATTATGGAAAAAAGTGTCCCACACCATCAACGGCCACCGTTCCCTTGGATGCTTCACCCCAGAACCCTTTACATCTTGTAATCCATGGGCCTCACTACATTTCCCTATTCTTCTATCACCCTTCCCCCGCCCCACGATGAGCTACCTGTGGGCTGGGGCTTTTGAATTCCCAGAACGCAGCAGAGCCCTTGGCCCATAATCAAACGCTTCCGACGACGCTAACGTGTCCTGAGCGTTAACCGAGTGCCAGACACGGTTCTACCTGCTCTACCTGTATTAAGTCACTTAACCGACGAGAAAAGGAAGGACCGCCGGGGGAGGAAAGGGACATGGGCACTGAGCCAGTAACTCAACCGAGGTGGGCCCGCCGGGCGGAGACGCCCCGGCCAAGCGCCGAGAGCAGTCCGGTGGGCCGGGCCGAGACGGGCGGTGCGGAAGGTGCTCCCGCAGGAGCCGCACGCGCGCTCTTAGCCTACTTCCGACGCTCTGAAAGGGAAGGCAGCCCCGGAGGACCTGGGAACTCGGCCACCACAGTTCACTGGCTCCTCTTGGGAACAAGTGACTGACCAGGCAGTGCACCCGGTACGCGAGTCCCTAGAAGGACACTGGAGCCCAATCCAGCCAGGATGCCGGGTACCCGAGCCGCCCACACAGCCCTTCCCGATCCAGCCCGCACCGCCCGCCGTGCAACGCACGCCGTCTACGCCCACACCGTACGCACTCGCAGCACGCACACGCCGCCGCGGGCGGCCTCCTCCGCCCCGCTCCGCCCCACCCCGCCCCACCCCGCGGTCGCAGACGGGCTGCGTCTCTCTAGAGCGCATGCACTTACCGTGTCGTTATCGACGTCTCCGAGGCAGATGGCGTGTGGGAAGAGGCTTCCGCTGAACTCCAGGGCCACGCGCTGTACGTAGCTAACCGACCTCATCGCAGCTCCCAGGGCTCAGGGACCGGGGAGCCCCGCTAAGTGTTCCCCGAGCCCCTCCCGACGGCTGCCCGAGCGGAAACCCACCCACAGCGGAAGCTTACGTCACCCCCTGCGCCTCCAATCGCTGCCTTCCTCGCTTAACCTCAGAGAGGAGGCGGGCCTTCCGGGCGCGTCTGGCGTGGGGGCGGGGCTGAGTGACAGGGCCTCGGGCCATTCCTCTTCTCCGCAGGCTCTGCGCGCCCTGGTCCGCCGACGCTGGCCTGGCCAAGCCGTTTCCTCGGCAACGGGGCTTTCGCGGCCTTGACCTAATAACCTTGACCTTGTCCTTTGTTGCCCTGGCAGTGAAGATTCCCAGCCGTCAGACCATCCCTGAGAATCATAATAATCGTAATAACCGATGACTGTGTGGTTTCCAACAGTGTTTAAAAAAAAACTGCGTAGCTCCCCATTATGAGTCTTGAAATGAGGGTAGTGAATCGGACCAGCTTTTTAAAAAACGAAATCGAATAGAAAATGCCAAGTAATCTCGAGTAGTAAGGTAAGTATTATTTTTGTGAAACCTTTGTTTCAATTGTATATATTTATACGTGCATATACCGGCTTATCAAAAAAATATTTTTTTGTCCCACGGTGGGTGTGCTCTGTGGGTAAAAGTTTGAAACTCACTTGTAAAGCACATTGCACAATTATTGTTTCATGTAAATAGTGCAACCACCCTGTGACCTTGTCTCCTTATTCCAGTTTTTTGGATGAATAAACGGGTTCAGCAAGATAAAGCAACAAGGCAGAAAGTGATGGAGGTGGGGCGCAAACCATAATTGTTTGAGCCAAAACCCCACGTCCTTTCTGTCATTGACTGCCAGAGTTCCTAGCAAAGTCCTCAGGCTAGAAATCGGGGTCGCTGGGATTCTGGGTCTGCTCTGGCGCCCCCAGCACAAAGCTCTTGCTTCCCTCCCTCGGGGGCCCCCCTCCGTAGCGTAAATGGGACATCACCATCAAGGCTGGCCTCAGGGGGAAACCTTCCATGTTGAATCCAGTGCAGCCTTTCTTTGGGCCTCATCAATCAGGATATCAAAAGTATTATTTGTGAGATTCTACAGGTGTTCAGTATATTTTTAGGTTTAGGTTTGCAGGCCCAAGACTGATCTACACGTTGGTCTTTCAGGAGTCAACATTGTAAAAATAAGGACGTCTACCTCACCTGGGGATGTTGGATCAGGGCTGGCCTACTTTCTACATCTGAATATAGTGGGAGAAGGCCCTGGAGGGCAGGACCTTTTTGTCTGGGGCCGGGGAGGGGACCGTGATTTCTAGCCTGAGGACTTTGCTAGGAACTCTGGCAGTCAATGACAGGAAGGACGTGGGGTTTTGGCTCAAACAATTCTGGTTTGAGTCCCACCTCCATCATTTTCTGCCTTGTTGCTTTATCTTGCTGAACCCGATTATTCATCCAAAAAACTGGAATAAGGAGACAAGGTCACAGGGTGGTTGCACTAATTACATGAAATAACATACGTGCAACGTGCTTTACAAGTGACAGCTGGGGAGGGGATGGCCACGAGAGCCACAGCACCCCTACCCCTAGAGATCCTGTGGCTCTCATGGCCAGATAAGATGAGAACAGGAAGCAGTAGGTCAGAACGGCAAAGAGGAGATAGTCTGGACAGACGCTGGGGACTGTAGGTACCCTTAGGTTTCTGTTTCTTGTGGTGTATTGTGGGGCTGGCCAGGTCCATTCCAAGGCTCTGGGTCACATGTGTGTACCTGGTGCTTTAAATCCATCTACTTACGGAGGAGTTGCATGCTGCCTTGTACTGCACTACCACATCTCTGTTCTCTCATCCTGGCTCAAACCCTAAGCTTCATACTAGGGTTAAGGGGTGGAAAAACAACCAGTTTTAAAATGTTTCTCTCTAATAAGTGTAAACTTATTTAGTTCTGAATTGTTTCTTTTCACTGTATGTATGACTCCATTGTTTTCTCTTTTCCCAGCCCTGTGAATGAAATAGTAAAATAAAGTAATTAATAATCCAGGACAAAGTAGATGAGGATCACCTTGCTCCTGCCACCCAGGGCCCTGGCCTGCCCCAGCTCTCTGAAATGGGACCCTGACCCAGCGCCCACCGTGCCTCGGTTTACCCTCCTCATAACTTGGGCTTCTTGTTCTTGACCTTCCTGTGCCAGGTGCCTGTTTTTGTTTGCTCTGTGTTTGTCATTTCATGAAGGTCATGTCATTATGATTGCAACTTGGATACAGTGCCTTTTGGCTTTTGTCAAGGGGGCCAAACAAAGTTAGAAAGGAAGGAAAGATAGGTCTCCGAGAAACATGGCGAGAATCAAGCCCCCCTGCCCCATGCCTCTCCCCGCTGCGCCAGTGACTTTAACTGCAGTGAACGTTACTGTCCCAGTGAGTGGAACACAGGCCCAGGCATGGCAGAGCCATGCAGACAGAGCCCTGGCTCCGCAAGGAGACCCCTGTTGTTGGCCCTTTTTAGTGAGATGGTTGGCGGGTCTCCAGCGGCACTATCTAGAGCTCGTCTCATTTAGGCCAGGCGCTCTCTCAGCGTGGATTTTGGCTTCCTCCCCAGCACTGCCTAACCAGGCGGTCATCCTGGTTAGATGACTTGGATACGGTGTTTGTGTGGGTGTAGCCGAACAATAGCTTCAGTAGAAACCTTCGAATGGCAGGGGAAGGGGAGGTGTGTTAAGCAGAAAGTGTTTCTGGGGAGGTTCTTTGTTCCCCTCTTTCTGCACGAGTAGACAAGGTGGTCCTGTTCAGGGTGTCGGCCTAGGGTGCCCAGGGGAGAGACAGGACCTTGAAATGAATCTCTTTCTGCATGTGAGGCCCAGAGCCACTCACCATCCTGAGGGCGGGGCCAGAGCTTCCAATGGGCTCAGAGTGAGACTTCCGCAAGTGAGATTCACAGTGCACCTTAGCATGCTGAAGATTCTAGAGGTCGTGAGGTGCAGAAAGCTGTTCCTCACACTTGCCTGACCTAGCTGTTAGGCAGAACAGCAGTGTGGGCCCTGCTCTGAGCGAGATGGTCATTCAGAGTCCACTGCACTTGCGTGTCGTTTCCCCCCCCCCCGCCCCCATCAGAACCCGTCAGAGCTGTTGCCTGTTCAGGACTCTACTGGCCATTAACTGAAGCATGGACAGTCGTTCTTGTCACCGAAGCCCAAACATCAGGACATGGGCTTGAAAAGCCAAGGGCAGTGAAAATATTTCAGAAGCGGCTAGAGGTGGTGCTTGTGCAACATTGTGACCGGACTAAAGGCCACGGAATTGTTTGCTTTAAATGGTTAAAACCATGTGAATTTCACCTCAATAAAAAAAAAAAAATACAAACGTAACCATTTTATGTGTGAGGCACTTCTAACCATGGAACCGGAGACTGGAGATCTGAAGGGAACATGCTTGTCTCCGGTTGGGGGACAGGTATGGCTGGTCCTCTATTCTAGTCAAGGAACTCTCAGTTCACTAAGGCACTGCTTTTTCTTGATCATTCGTCCCTAGAACCACTTTGTGAATCTTTCACGTTCTCACTTTGCCCCCCAAAGTGGTATACTGAGTGCTCATTACGTGCTAAATAAGGTTTTGTTGTGTTTTATAATTAAGGATAGTTGGTGCATCCGAGTTATACGAGGTTGGCAAGCAGCTGGGGAACTGCAGCCGTAAAGTCAGCAATAACGATTTCCAGAAGGAGGACAAGAATGTCTTCTCACACTTGCATTGGCTTTTTTTCAGCACTGCCCTAAGCCCACTGTCCTTTCAACCTAAGGGTTCCAAGGCTTTGAGGAGTGCTGGTTTGGGACCGGGAAGGTTGGCCTTTAAGACAGAAGGAATAAGGCATCGAAGGTTCCACTGTTTCTCTATTTCCAAGCCATCGTTTCCTAAAAAGGGACTTACCTGTTACTAGTCCTGCCTAAAATATCTTCCACGTGTTATGTCTCCAACTGAAATGAGATTCACAGTTCACCCTCTCACTCAGACCGGTGTGGCTGGTGGAGTCCAGTGCACCGATGCTGGGACGGCAGGCTGGCCCAGGCCCGCGGGGTGTGACCTGCAGCCCAAACGGGCTGGGAAGGCGCAGTCAGCGCTTCAGTGGTCGGAGGGATTCGACTGGGACGCAGCACACGTTGAGCCGCAGGGGCACACACGGGAATGCGGGGGAGCCTTTCACGGGACAGGCGGACGGGGTCGGGACACGTGGGGATGCTGGGAAAGGGCTGCTGGAACAGGGACTGCAAATACCCGAGAGATAAAAATCTATAGAACTTGACGTTTGGACCAGCACTAGGACAAGATAAACCCCATTTAAGATCTTCCAGAGACCACGTGGTAGTCTGCAGGAACAGCTCAGTTCTGGTTGCCACTGTTTCTCTTTACTCCACACATTCTCTGCATATGGAAAGATTTGTGTTGGTGAGGAGGGTGTGACTGGGAAATACACTTGCGCCCGACCCTGAGCAGAGTGGAGTAGGTAGTGCATTTATTTTTAACCTTAAAGACCTCTGGCCACTGTACTAAAACATTTTTTTTTTTTAATGAATATGTTGAAGTCCTAACTCTTAATTTTTGCTGTATTGCGTCTTCGTTTCTGTGCGAGGGCTTTCTCTAGTTGTGGCAAGCGCGGGCCTCTCACTATCGCTGCCTCTCTTGTTGCGGAGCACAGGCTCCAGACGCGCAGGCTCAGTAGTTGTGGCTCACAGGCCTAGTTGCTCCGCGGCATGTGGGATCCTCCCAGACCAGGGCTCAAACCCGTGTCCCCTGCATTAGCAGGCAGATTCTCAACCACTGCACCACCAGGGAAGCCCAGGAGACAGTTTTAATGGTACATAAACCAAGGCTTGTCCAGTTTCCAGGGTTCTACAGAAGTGCAGTTATGGTTTTGGGTTTTTTTTTTCACTATGTTTCAAATTCTTGGAATCCTACAGAAGCATCCAGAGGTGGAGGGAATCTCAGGCATTCTTTTTGTCCATCTCCATTTTTGCAGATGAGCAAAGAGGCTCAACTTGCCTAAGGTCACATGAACCTCAGGGCAGTTTGGATTTGTTCAAGAGGTCATCTCACATTCCAGGCAGATCATCTTTCCATTTAAGTTCTGACCCTTGGTTTCCTCATCTGGGGCAATACCTTTTTTGTAGGATAGTTACAAGGGTTTAAGTTAATCTGTGTGAGGCTGGGTTTACATCTAAAGTGCTTAGTGAGGGTTAGCTATTATCATGGGCTGCAGGGGCAAGTCTAATCCTGAAATACCAAACAGACCCAGACACAAACCCTAAGCCCAGGGCTATGATGTGAACCCAGGAGAGAGCAAGCAGTGGCACTGGGAGAAAAGAACACCCAAATTTTAGTTCTGGCTCTAGCACCAGCCATGCTGTACGACTTGAACTTTTTCACAGAAATTAATCTTCCACAGTGAAAGTATAGAGAAATTTCTTCTGGAAGGAAATGTACAGGCATGTGGTGGGGCAGGCTAACCATATCACTGGGCAGAAAGGGCTAGACAGCCCACACAGACAAGGGAGAAGGGCATAGACACAGGCTCTGGCCTGCAGTCAAGATCGTCCAAGGCTCAGCATGATTCACTCATGCCCCCTTGGCTTCTCTCCCAGGGCCCCAGAATGCTATAGAAGCCAGGGGTCAAAGCATGGTGAGGAAAAAGCATAAGCTTTTCCCCATTAAGGCCAAGAAGAAAGCCGGACAGTAGGCCTGAGGGGCTGCCAGATGACTGTTCTTCCCTCTTCCCTTGTGTAAAGGGCGACAGGCGTGGGTGACACCAGGGGTTTCACTTTGTTAGGAAACCAAGACAGCTTGAACTTTCTACTGGATCAGTTGGGCAGAAGTAGACAAATCTAACCTCAAAGCAAACTCAGTCGCTTGGTCCCAGTGCAGTTCAGATGTTTATATATTTTCCTTTTCTCAAGTGTTAGGGAAGAAAAACCAGAGCTCCTAAAAACCTGCCAGGCTGCTGGGGGGAGGAGTGTGGGAGACCCACGGGCAGGCTTCGAGCGCAGGCCCCACCACAGCCCGTGTGGTGCGCAGGAGGCCCTGCTCAGGGTGGGCGACTCTCTTAGTTTTGCCCCCTGGTGTAGCCGCCCATGCCCCCCCTCCGAGGCCAAACACAAAGGGCTGCCCAACACCCAGGTTTTATTGTTTCCACTTTATTGCTCAAGCACAGAACTTGAGGCGAGCCTGTACCTTCAGCAAGTGCAGGGAAGAGGCTGAGGGGGTGGGACACGCCTGGCTGAGGAGGGACACTGACGGGAGGGGGCACAGGGGGGGTCACCACACCAGAAGGTAGCATCAGCCACACCACCTGGGGCGAGGAAAGGAGAGGTAACAGGCACAGCAGTGCTTCCCACGCCCCTAGCACCCACGTCCGCGAGGAGGAACTGGGGGGGGAAGGGGCTGTCCAGGGGTCCCCCCTCCACCCCGCCTTCTCATCAGACCTCACATCCCTACCGCATGCCCCCTTCTACCACCTGAAAGACGGACAGAGAAGACAGAGGAAGCAAAATAAATAACGTTCTCGTGAGTGTGCGTGTGGAGGGACATTCGTTCACGTGGAATGGGGGAAGGGAAGGGGGTGACACTACCTAAAATGACCCCCCCGACCTCAGTCCCCCAGCCTGCTCCTTTCCCCCTTCCCCCAAAGCCACCATCGAACCCGATAGAAAAATAAAGGTCTAATTCACTCAAAGTTCTTCAGTTTTTACAAAACTAACAGGGTGGAGTAGGGTAGGGAGGAGGGGGCAGGCAGCCGGGAGCAGGGCTGGGCGGGGCTAAGCTTCCGCCTCCACCTGAGGCTGGCCCCCTGCCACATCGTTCTTCTGCTCTTCCTTCATCTCCGTGTCAGCAGGCTGGTTTCCCGCAGCCGTGGCCTTGGCCTGCAAGAAGGGAGAGGGGAAGGGGGTGAATTCCAGTTCTCATTTGCCCCCCGACGGTAAAGGTGACTCTTACCCACATCCCCACTCTCACCTGCCTGCACCCAAGTGATCACCTAGCACACACTGACACCAGGTGTCGTCTGTACCCAGAAATACTCATGCCCAAGTTAAAAAAAAAATACTAACTGCTAACAGAATTATAGGGACACAGCAATTCCCTTTCCATGTACGACTTCAAGATACACCTGCTCATGTACAAAATTATGAATTCACTTTATTGCAACACTGTATAAAACTCTACTTGTCTATGGCAGCTACTACCATATGTGCCTACTGAACACTTTAAATACAGCTAGTTCAAAACAATTTAAGTATAAAATACACATTGGATTTTGAAGGCTTAATCTGAAAAAAATTAAAAATGCAATTAAAAAATTACATGTTGCAATATTTAGATACCTTGGGTGAATTAAATATTAAAATTAATTTCACCTATTTTTTTTTTAAACACAGCTATTAGAAAATTTAAAGTTCCAAATATAATCTGCATTATATTTCCATTAGTGCAGGTTTAGAACACTGGGAGACTAAGAAATAGGGACCTGGGTAAGTAAGATATGGTACATCCACACAGTGGAAGACTACGTGAGCCTAAGAAAGAACGTGAAAGCTCTTTCACACGTTGATGTAAAATAAGCTTCCAGGTATGACGTGAAGAAAGCACGATGCACAAAGTAGTAGGCAGAGCCCGCTGCCTGTCGTCAGGGATCACTGTCTGTCCCGCCAGCACACTGGGTGGGGGAGGGAGCCTTTCACTACACCTTCTGTGCAGTCTGAACTTAACCATGTACATGCGTTACCTATTTAAACCTCAGTTTCGGAAACCTGAGTTTTAAACAGGCACAGAGAACGTAGACTGGAAAGACCATCAGAGCAGCCAACTCCTGACACACAGGGGGCCAGACGGGGGCGGGGGACCCGGGCTGCTGCTCCAGGCTTCCAGGGTCGGCACAGATAGGCACAGGCCCAAAGGGCCCGCCCGGGCTGGGCTGGGCACGAAGGGGTGCCTCTGTCGCTGTCCCCGCTAACCGCCCCCGCCCTCACCTTGCTCTGCTCCCCAGCCAGCCTCTCAAACATGTTGGCGTAGAGCTGCTTCTCCCGTTCCAGCTGCTTGCGGATCCGCTGCTGGCACACAGCCAGCTGGGCCTTGGCGGCTTTGTTGCTCGGGTAGAGCTGCAGGAGCTTCTGGAAATCAGCCCGTGCCAAGTCAAAGTCGTTCACCGCCAGGTGCGCCTCTCCCCGGCGGAAAAGGCCCTTCTCGTTGTTGCTGTCCAGTTCCAGGGCCTGAGACACAGGGAGCACGCAGCAGCAAGACCTCAGATCCTGCAGCTTCTCTGGCCAGCACTGGGTTCCCGAGGCAGCCCTCAGCAGGACGGGGCCCCACCCCAGGAAGAACGAGCCTTGGGCACCACACGGAAAGGACCAAGGTCTAGGAAGGCACCTCATTTAGTCCAAGAGGCAGACAGGGAAGACAGGTCTTTAGACGAAAGACAAGAACCTGTGACACTAACATGCTTTTTTTTTTGGCCGTGCCACATGGCTTAGTTCCCCGATCAGGGATGGAACCTGTGCCCCCTGCAGTGGAAGCACAGTCTTAACCACTGGACTGCCAGGGAAGTCCATCTCTTTAGACTAAAGTGGGTGCATAGGAGGGAGAGGCAAAGAGCCAGGGAAGAGAGAACACGGAGCCAGTCCTTCCATCCAGTGTTTCTGCCCACCGCTGCGCCACTGCCTCTGACCACTAAGGCCAAGCCACTTGCTTCCCACAGCCCTGCCTCTGGGCCTGCACCTGAGAGCCCCACGGCTCCGTCCTGCTACCTCTGCCCTAGTCACTGCGGACAAGTTCCAGACACGCCAGCAGCCCGCCCAAGCCTGCGCGTGAACACTGCCCTCGCTCTCTCACCTTATTACAGTTTTCAATGGCAGCCGAGAAGGCTTGCAGCTTCAGATGACACATGGCCAGGTTGAGGTGGGAGGCCAGCCGAAGGGCCTGCGCCTTCTGTGCGTCCTCGTTAGAGAAACTCGACTCGAATTCCAGCCAGGACACAATCTTCCTGTACTGCAGCAGGGCTTGCTTGTACTTGCCTTCCTGGAATGGGAGGGAGGCTCAGGCGCCCGGCACAGCTGCGGTGGCCCCAAGCTGTCATACCCTGTGGACACCGGTGGCCCACAGGCGTGAGAAAGTCCCGCCCCGCCCAACCCCTACCACCGGCTCGACCAGGCAGCTCGGATCCACTTGGTGACAGCTGCAGGTGCCGACCTGTCCACTCCTCGGGAGCGCGCTCAGGGCCACGCGGCAGGCTCACCTTGAAGTGCATGGTGCCCCGCTCCTTCGCTATAGTGCTCTGCTCCAGCTTCTCCTCTGAACTCATCTCCCAGGACTCCTTGGCCTGCCGTACCCCAGGGGAGAAACAAAGTTGTCAGCCACCCCAGGGAGTCACGTCCAGGGTGGGGAAGACCTTGAACAAACTCACCTTCTCAAAACTCTTGAGCTGTACCTCATACTTCAGATCAGCATTTGGTGGGATCTGGAACTTTTCCTTCCCAACGCTGCCAAAAGCATAGCTGTGGGGCAGGAAAACGCTAGGTCATCTCAGCAGCACTTAACCTGCTCCACACTGAAAGGGCTTCCTGTTTCCTGCAAAGTACCTCCTCATCGCTTCGGTCTTGGTTCAGATGTTTCCTGCTTGGCAAAACCTTCCCTGACCCTTTCACACAATTCCTTGGGCTCTTACTTAGCACATTACAAATCTTTCTAATACTCACATCACACACGGGCACGATTACTAATTTAAATGGTACCCCACAGAGCAATGAATCACTAGGTGGCGGCAACAGTGTCTCTGAATAACTAAGGATCTTCAGCACTGTGTCCGCCACGCAGTAGGTGTGTTTCAATAAATACACTTAATGACTGAATGAACAAAAGATGAAAATCTTGATGTCACTAGAAAAGGGAAGCTGTAGCAGCATGACTGAAAACATCAGCTTTGGATTCAAGGAGATCGTGATGGCGTGTGTGCAGGGTGCCCAGGGCACAGTGACCGCACGCAGGGGAGGCGTGCAAAGGGCCGGCTACACAACTCAGTGTGGACGAGTAGATCTGACCTTGGTCCACCCACCTGTTCTACAGACTGCCACACCTGGGCCAAAGTGTACCTCACCTGGGCTTGAGATACACGATGGAATGTTCTCCTTTTTCCATGCGCTGAATGGCTTTCTCCAGCCCACAAGGCAGATCCACGCTCTCCCCCTCGCCGACCTCAAAGCGGAGCTCCCGGCGGTCAAAGATCTGGTCCTTGTAGTACCCTTCCAGCGCAACTGGCGTGAAAGACAGGCGACGTACCAGGGGCGTAAGCAGGCAGGAGACTGAGGAAGGATGCCGCCACAGCCACCCCCACTGCCTCGTCACTTCCTGCTCCCCAAACGCCCTCTGGCGTTCTCAGACGTGGAGGAGTGTCAAGAGGATGTGGTTCAGCCCCTCACTTCACAGAGAAGGGTACTACAGGGACCGGTGACCCAGGGCATGCACACCAGAACCTGACCGAAACCCCACCCTGCCCCGCCTCACCCTCCACGAGGGCGCCATCGTTGGGCTTGGCGTGGCCTTCCCCCCGAGCCCGGATTCTCCTGATGATTCCGCCATCTTCTTCGTCCGTCAGGTCCTCTCCCTTGAACTCAAACAACTCCACCTGTGGGACAAGGTGCAAGGGGTCACAGCTCCTCTCTCCCTCGGAAGAGTCCCTAGTAGATGCCAGAGCAGGTCTGACCACGAGGGCAGCGCCAGCGGGAGTGGCCCAAGTAGCAGTTTTGCGAGGTTCCCGGGAGCTGCCCTGGCTCAGCTTTGGCAGACGCGGGCAGGCCGCAGGGCTTCATTTCACCTCAGGAGATCACTCTGTGTGCTCGCTACTCCCGTAAGTGTGCTCTCCAGACAGCCCCAACCCAGCTACTGGACAAGCTCGGCCCGACGGGGGTCAGCACCCAACACCTCTCACCAGCCTTCCCAACGTTCTCCCGGCATCCACTCGGTAGAGCTCAACCATCTTCAAGTCTGAACACGGTCAAGTTCCAGCTCCTCGGCAAAGGTTTTCCTCCCCGCCCCCAACCCACACAGTGGGCATCTCTCCCCTCCTATCATCTCCAGAGCGCCAATATTCTCTGCCGTCAGTCACCACTCTATGTAGGTTATGACCTCCTAATTCCTTTCAGTTAGGACCCATCTCCTCTAGGCACCGCTCTAGAGATAAACAGGCCTCAAGCCCTCACCCTGCTGCTTCAAGTCTGAAAAGGGGTGCGTGGCTACCTCTTCCCACCTGAACCCTCATCACCGACCACTTTCTGGCCGCAGCAGGTTACATGCATGGCAAAGCTAGCCGCTCTCTCCATTCCTCCCCTTCCCCCGAGGGCAGGCCCTCAGCCTTCGCTACGTTGTCTCCGAGAGGCAGGAAGTGCGCTGGAGGGCAGCCAGGCCCTGGGCTGAGACAAGGCTGGCTCTTTGCCTTTGCTCTCTGTGGCCACTCACCTCGAACACAAGCGTGGCATTGGAAGGGATCTTGGGAGGGCTGCCCGCGGAACCGTAGGCGTATTCTGGCTTGCAGGTGATGTGGCACACTTCCCCCACCTTCATGGTCGCTACAGCAATATCCCAAGCCTTGATGACCTCCCCTGTAGGTACAGAAAACAAACAGATCGGGACTTCTCTGGTGGCGTAGTGGTTAAGAATCCTGCTGCCAATGCAGAGGACACTGGTTCGAGCCCTGGTCCGGGAAGATCCCCCATGCCGCGGAGCAACTAAGCCCGTGTACCACAACTACTGAGCCCGCGCTCTAGAACCCACGAGACACAACTACTGAGCCCACGTGCCACAACTACTGAAGCCTGTGCTTTGCAACAAGAGAAGCCACAGCAATGAGAAGCACACACACCACCGCAACTAGAGAAAGCCTGCGCACAGCAACAAAAACCCAACACAGCAAAAAATAAATAAATAAATTTATTAAAAAAAAAAAAAAAAAGTTCGTGCCCCGGTCTGGGAGGATACCACATGCCACGGAGCAACTGTGCCCGTGTGCCATGGCTGCTGAGCCTGCGCGTCCGGAGCCTGTGCTCCGCAGCCGGAGAGGTCTCAACAGTGAGATGCCCGTGTACTGCAAAAAAAAAAAAAAAAAAAAAAAGGAAGAAAGGAAAGAAAACAAACAGGTTCTCCTTGGCAGGGATCTGACTCTGAGTTCAAACAGTGGCCCCAGAGACTTACTGTCCCATGCCCAAGGGGAAGCTGGACACTCTTTAGAAATGGGACCAGGAAGGTAGAAAACCTGCTTGCAGACCACTTTAAAGAAACAAAACAAAACAAACCACTCAACTCTGGAACAAAGGGGTTCAAGAAAACAAGGCAGTCCATCCTTGAAGAGGAAGCAAGGCGTTCAGAGGTGATCAGGGGAATGAGAGATAAAAATTAATATAGTTCCAGGACTTCCCTGGTGGCGCAGTGGTTAAGACTCGGAGCTCCCAATTCAGGGGGCCTTGGTTCGATCCCTGGTCCTCGAACTAGATCCCACATGCATGTCGCAACTAAGAGTTCGCATGCCACAACTAAGGAGCCGGTGAGCTGCAACTAAGGAGCCCACCTGCCACAACTAAGATCTGACGCAACAAGGAAATAAAAAAAAAAAAAAAAAATCAACATAGTTTCAGGACAGTGGAAACAAAAAAGAAAAAGAAAAAATTAAGATTGTAACAAACCCTTCCTTTTTGAACTCCTGAGAATACTGTTTCTGCTTGTGACAGCTCACACACCCCGATCCCACCAGCCCGCTAACCATGCCCACCTTTCCCCAGGTCGAAGGAGAATCTGTCCTTGCGGTCCAGGCTGGAGTCAAACTTGGTGCCATCAATCAGCCAGCCCGTGTAGTGGACAGAGACTCGGTCCCCGATCATGGGCATCTCCGTGCCTGTGCCCTCTCGCTTGATGACCTGGAGGAAGGGGAGAAGGTGAGCACTTGGGGATGGACGCAGAGGCACCATGACTACCCGCACGCCTCTGACCAGAACGTAAACAGACTCTTCTGCCTCCTTGTAAGTAACTCGACGAGCCCATCATCAAATGACTGCTGTGGAGCTTGGTTAGAACCAACTGACCTCCCTGTCTTCCACTACGACGTGACTTGGTGTGAAACACTGGAGACAAAACAACACTTGAGTTCAAGTTTTTGCCGTATGCTCTTGTACAAGTCACTTTCATTCTCCAGACCTTATTTGTAAAGTAGTAATCATAATCCCTATCAGAGTTGTTACAGGACTAAACCGGTGAAAGACTGAATAATTATCAGCAACAAAGGGAAAAGTATTTATGCAACGTTTCCTCATTCTTCCTAAACATCAGTCATCAGATCAGGATCTAGTTTAGAGAGAAAAGAGGAATATGAATAATGAAAAGAACAGGAGCAGTCCAGGAGAGGTAAAAAGCAATCACCAGGTTACAGGTGAGCCCGGGCTCTCAACCAGGCCCTAACCTCTGACCTGCGACTTGAGCATTCGTGACTGGTAGTCTGCTGAAGTCCTTGGTTTCAGGGCTAGAGTATTTCCCAGGAACTTCTAAGACTCTTGCTTCTCTTCTTTACCGTTTATAAAATTTGGTGGCTCTGTGGGCTCCCTGGTACGTGTGTGGTCACCCTCTAAGGGAAAGCTTCCACGATAGAATGGATGTGGACTTGAATAGCAATAGAAAAGGAAAGGGGA